ATATATAATAAAGTATGTTCTAAATTTACATATTTTCTTATCAACAAATATTTCCCATAAATGTATTAATTTCCATTGATCCAAGAGTGTTTTTATATCCATGTGAATGTCCATTTTTACCGGTATAAGGTAATAATACTATGGTATCACCTAACACGTAATAAATCCGCAAATAGGTTTTAATGTTTTATTAAAATTTCACTGCACAAAATCCACCTATCACTTTCAGGCCCAGAACCCAGAACAATATGAGAAGAATCAAAGAAATTAGTAGATTATGCTTATGCTTCAAATTTCAAATTCACTTTCCTTCGTTTCCTGTCTAAGCTTGTCTCTTCTTGTCTCAAGCTCAAGCCCTCCCTACTCCCTAAGCCAAGCAAGCCTTAAGAATTTATTTGTGACGTGTAAAGCCCATGACCGATTTTAAGCCAATAGACAAAGGAAAAGGGCAAATAGTTGGGTGGCGGGTGGGATACGTAGAGCTGGTCATACAGCGTTGCCAACCTGAGGAAATTTTCTCATATTATAGGAAATTTTACTACAAAAATATGGAAGTGGGAAAAATGAAAAAAAATTAAAATAAACTTACAATATGGAAATTATGCTCGACCACGTTGACTTTGATTGATCTTGGGCGTTCTCGCTACCTACAACTTTACACCTACTATTCTTTGCTTTTCATTTTCTGATGTGTCGTTATGTGTTAACAGTGTATTTCATAAAGTTGGATTCATATGAGTATTTTTTTTATTTAGGTACCAATACAATTGGAAAAAAAACGTCGCCGGCAATCACTTCTGTTTATTCAAAAACTTAAATTAATCCAAACGTGGCTTTTGACATTAGTTAAAAGTACCTGTCAAATTTGCAATTTTTTTTTGGAAAGTACCTAGTTTAAGAATTATCTTTTTTGAAATGAAATGTATGAATACGAAAGTGGGAAAAAATTGTGGAAATATTAAAATTTTGTGTGGGGAAAATGGATTTTTTTTGTGCATGTGTGGAAATTTCTGTTCAAATTAGTTGACAACACTGCGATCATACGATAACAGGTGTGAGGTTTGCCGGAAAGAGTTATTTGATTTAAAAATCCTGAATAATAAATAATTATTTAGTACCTAATAATAATTAATATTTGAAATAAAAACAACAATGTATTTAACTTAATACCTAAATTAGTTCAATATGTTTTTTACATTTTTTGATTCAAATAAATTATCATTTGGCATTAATCATTTGATTATTTGCTGCTAAATTATTTACTTTAAATACTGCGATATTTAACTGAAATATATATATATTTTCAAGTAAATTTACAAAAAAAAACAAATCATTTGAGGTATTTTAAACAAATAAATTTCTGTTAATTTGAATAATATTAATTTAATACCAATAAATATTTGACAAATAACTCATTTATTTGAAGAAAAAAAACGGCTAGTTTTATCAGTGCATGTTTAAACATGAATAAACTATTCACTTTTATGTCAAAAACTCTTGTAACGTACCTATATAGCTGTAAACACTAGTTTTGAAGCTTGCAGAGAAGAATATATGTCAAAAATATGTCTGAATAAAAGGATATAAGTCTACTTATACCCTTTTCTATAAACATGAAAAAGAGAACATTGGTTCCTAAAGTGAGTTAACTACACTTGTACCGTTTCCTTCAGACATTGAATTGTTCATCCTCAGTTAACTCACTTTCTTCAGCTTATTAAATGACAATATATTATTTGAATGACTTATACCGTTTTCTGTAAATATACAAATCATTATGATCTATTCAAATAAATATAAAACACAATAACGGTTAAAATTGACTTGTACCCTTTTCACCTTGCAGTAGCCAATTAAGATACCAAAAACCTGCGTAACATTATTATTATTATTAGTTTTAATTATTGTGTTCTCATTTAAATCGATTTAATTAAAAATAATTTGCGATTTGTTGGATTTAAATGAGAAATGATGGCCAACTAAGGTTTCAAGTGATTTTTGTATTATTATCATATGTATTGATTTAATTTTTCTCAAAAAATATGTTATTTAAAAAATAAAAGAAGCAAAAAAGGTTTAAAATAACATTTTGCATAAAATGAAATAAAAATTTTAAAAAACAGCCGATGGACAAAAAAAGTTCTGTGGGTTACCCCAAAACAACCCCTTAAAATATTTCATTTAATTTTTACTCCCAAATGAAGACTCATGCAGCGCCTAAATAATTTTTTAAATATAATTTTTTTTAAGTTAAACGGTTGCAAAGATATTAATTTTTTTCGAAATATCTGGCCCCTTTTTTGGCTTTCCTAAATCCGTGGGGGTACAACTTGGTATAGAGGTAAATTGTGTTAAATCGCCATATTTTGGTGCCCAACATGCACCTGTTCTGTGTAGGTACTTATGCGGAACACTCTGTATAGTAAGTAATTTTTCAATGGTTTATTTTACAATATATTTTTAATTATGCTTGTACACAATTTTAATGTTTGTTCATCTCACAGTTAAATGATGGTCTTAGTAGTAAATTATCAGATTTTTTTAATTCAATTAAAAATCCACCATAGGTACTTTAATATTACAATGCGATGTAAATTTTGATTCGATCAATAAATACACAACCTTTTTCTTCATATTCAATCTACGCGCTGTTTTGTTTACAAACAATTTTCCTATATTGCTTTTTAATATTTATATACATTTTTCTTTTCAAATAAATTTGGTAATTTGATTAAGATGCATACCGATTTTATTAAAATCTCACTCACAAAATATTTTTCACTGTGTTATTACTATTACGGTACTTGCCAGCTTAAACAAGATGAATATATTTTTTATATGTTTAATTTTACCAGTAAATCGAGTATCATCCCTGATGTTTGAAACAATTAATATTGATAAAGAATTAAACACTTGTGTACAAAAAATTATATCTACAGTCGCAAATCCTGAAGATACCATTACAATGATTAATAACGAAGATTTTATTTCAATAAAAAATCACCCGGTTTTTAATTACCAATTGAATACGGAAATATATATTAATAAACAGTACCACCAATACAACCAAATCTATTACATATCAATCGATAATGATGCACATTCTATTTTTCGGTTCCTGTATGCAACAAACCAGCTAAACTCAACTGCTAAATATATCATAAAAGTACACAATGAAGATGTAACCATTTTGAAGTTCTTGAAGAAATTCTATATAGATAAAGTTGTTGTTCTTAAAACAAATCCTAATGGTACAATTGATTTATTCGGTTATAGACAACTAAATTTTGTTGGGTTAGGTACTTGTAATACACCATTAGGAACTAATCAAATTTTCAAACATTATTGGTCACCAAAAATGTTCAAAAACCTAAAAATCCTTACATACAATAACGTACCGTTCACTATGTATAATACAGATTTGGGTTTATTTAACACGTTCGCGGACATTACGGCTATAGCCGTCAATTGTTTAGTCCTTTTGTGGGTAATGACGGTCCAAGCCGTCTCGTATGTTTGCTCTTAATAATCAAACAGCTGCCAAGCCCGTCGTATAACTCGTGTTGCGCTATGAAGAGCAGAAGAAACTGTCCTAACAAGGACCATTTAAATTAATAAATTGTCTCATTTACGCGATTAGTTTCAAGCATGTGTCCAAGGTTTGCAGGTCTGTTCACGTTTTGTTTTGGCGGCTATGCCCGTCAGTATTTACATTGCGCATTCATTAGTTGAGGAAAAAGTGTTGAAGTGAGTGCATGTTTGGTTTTTTACTGCGGGAAGATTACAAATAAAACGTAAGTACTTTTTTTATATATAAATAAAAGGTTCCTTGGTTTTATTCGGTCTATTTATTGTTTTTATACAATTTTCTCATAGACACTACATATGTTTCCAAAACACAGTTCCATCTTCTGGTGTCAGTCAATTTAAATAAAATTTGGGGACGATTACAAACATTTTAAAATACATAAAAGCCCGTCTTTTTGTTTAGCAGCCTGTGGAGGTGTATTTCGAATACAGAAAGCGAAATCCAAAGGAAATTACCCAAAAGAAGCTTGTAAATGCGAATTTATTTGGAGAAGGTCGGGCGACGTATACGTCGGAAAATGGAAAGACAAACGCGAAGTTTTATTTATAACAACTGCCAATCATCCCGAACTTATAGAAGTACCAAACAAATTTGGTCACGTAAAAACTAATCCAAGGGGAAATTTGCTGCAAGTTCCCTCTAATATTACTAACGGTAAAGACTTGGTTATCAAGGCAAGAGGTGGTCGTCCCAGAGTGTTGAATAATATTGTCGAACCTGGACCATCCAACCAAAATGTTGGTCAGGTATTCCAGCATCATTTTCCAGAGAAGATTCCCGCCCCTGCAAATTATAAAAGAAAAACATACTTTTTGCGATGCAGGGAATGTTCAAAAAAAGACATAAGAAAGGAAACTTCGTACAGGTGTAAAGTATGTCCAGATAAACCAGCATTGTGTCCTACATGTTTTGAAGATTTTCACCAACGTATTTTTCATAATGCTGCCTAGTTGTTATCTGGCTACTCTCTTTACAATTATTATAGTAAAAATATACTGCGTAAATAAATAAATATATGCAATACTGTAAGGGGATAGGTCGATTTTCCTTTTATGTGTGATTTGTAGCTTTGGGAGCTCGTATGCTTTAAGTTTGTTTGGACGGTAATAACCGTTATTTGCATACACAACACCAAGATACATTGTAAATGCAAACGACGTTCATAGCCGTCTTTTTAAAAAAATTATTGAATGCTAATTTTAAATTGACCTTATACTAAAATAAATGTTTCAAACAAAAAAAACTTTTATTTCGTTTCAAAAACTCACTTTAGGAAAACTGTGCACCTGGGTTCTATTCCTTGTGTAAAACTGTCCGCGAACGTGTTAATCAAATTATTCAGATCATCAGTCAAAGAATTGGTATACGAGCCCAATACTATTACACCAACAACATTAATTATTATATCAGTATGAACGGAACCATGAGTGGGTATTGGTCAGAATTGATAACAAGGAATCTTGATGTATTCGTTACTGGCATCATTACACCATCTAGTGCAATAGGTTACTTTGAAACAAGTGTATTTGCTCTACAAGATAGCACCCATTTTACAGTACCTTATATCGTAAAAGAGGAAAATAGATTGAATTTTTTTGGAATTTTTGATAAGTACATATGGATTGCTTTAACTTCATCTTTACTGTTATTAATTGTATTTTATATCACTGTTACCAAGTTACTGAAGTTTGAAAACAAATACACTAAGACCCATTTAATTGTTACTATGTTCCAACTGCAAATGGATGGATCGCCAATTTGGAAACCAAGAAGTGACAGTGTGAAACTAATAACAGTCATTTTCCTGTATTTATTCTTAATATTGAATACTTGTTTCAAAGGCAAACTATTCAATTCTAGAGTATCTGATAACATCAATCAAGAGTACGAAACTTTGGAGGATATCGTTAACAAGAAACTCAAAGTTGGGATACATGATGTAGCTAAAAATATTCTGAATTCATCCGAAAATGTATTTGAGAAGTACATAGTCAAAAATGGAGAATCTTGTGGTATAGATCTGTATTGTCTCAATAGAACTGCGTTTCAAAAAGACTTTGCTACAATCAAATTCAAAAGTACTGTGGAATACTTACTACCAAGATTATATGTAGATGAAAACGGATTGCCTTTAATAAACACAATAGATACCTTCACTCATTTATACCTCTACTTTCATTTTTTCTTTAGAAAGGGACATCCGTTGTTTGAAACTTTTAACAGAGAGCTGATACATCTTCATCAACATGGACTTATTTCGAAAATTTTGCATGATTTCCAGAGGAACAATACTTTTGCCATGGTGTTGGCTAAACGAAGGGATATTTTAAAATTTTCTTCTGTGGCGTTAATAGAGTTAAAGAGTATTTTTCAGATTTATTTGGTGTGCATTCTTGTATCGTTTGTTGTCTTTTGTTTAGAGATGATACAATCGAGAAAGAGTTATTTTATACATTAAAAGTCGCTATTAATTGAAAAAGTAATGTATGCTTAAAATATTGGAAACTTTTGTTTATTAAGTTTTTGTCACTTGGTTTTTTAGGGAATATAATATTGCAAATAATTTAAATGCACGGGATAAATGCATTCAAGAGGTTTGTTTCTGTTTGTAACGAATTTAACTGGATGTATGTATACTAGGCTGCCTGGGCCGAAATAGGCATATTTTTTAAAAATATAAAAATTAAGTTTACCTATCAAAACTTACGTTTTGCTGTGCGTGCTTTTCGTATTTTTTTTTTTAAATTCTTCATCCACATTTTTAGCAATCTACCACCCCCTTTAGCGGTGAAAATTTAAAGTTTGAAATTTTGACGTATAATACCTACTGAGAGTTACACTTTAGTGTTTGTATGCACTATTTATTTTTAAATAACATTTTTAGCTCTCTCCCAATGAGCACATGTACGTTAAAAAAACGTCGAAAACGTATAAGAAAGAGTTCAAATGTCGCGGAAAATAACGTTATTCACAACCACAAATTGCATTTAAATCAAACGTTGAATTTTACATAGTTTCTAACATGAAAAAGAATAAATATCGGTTGATTTTAAATAAAAAATTGTTTTATTTTCCCGTTTTCTTATCGGTACTATATTACGTATTTTCAAGTGACTCAGTAAATGTTTATGTACACACCAAATAATCTTTTATTACGTATTAATTACACTTATATTTTTAAACAACAATTAACCGTTTATTATTATGCAATAGTTAAATGTTGTAAAATAACTTTTTATTTAAACATTCATGTAAATTCGAAGTAATTTATAAAAAATAAGTTCAATATAATATTCAAACAGTATAGACTAAAGCAAATATATAAATGAATCTGCTTTTGTTGTCTTGACTGAACTACCATTCATAAAGTTTCATCATATCATTTTTATAGCGCTTACGACTTAGACAGCAGGAACAGCCTGTTTTTCTTAGAACTTTAAAAGGTTTAAATACAATAACATTTTATATACGTCTTATATTCATTTTAAATTAACGTTAATATTATACGCATATTTAACAAAATTATCGGCTTTTAGTTGCATAACAACGTCTAAAAACAATATTAAAATATACTTAATTAATATTGAAACAACGTAGATATTTAGTTTTCGTTATTAACCAAATGCTAAAAGGTTCGAACTTAAATAATTAATATTGAACTTAAGTAATTAATATTGAAACAACGTAGTTATTAACCAAATTTTAAAAGGTTCGAATTCAATAACGTTTTCTAGGCATTGCATTTAATTGAAACTAACGTTGATATTATATGTATATATTTAACAAAATTATTAACTTTTAGTCACATAACAACATTAAAAAATATTATAATATAGTTAATAGTCTAAATAAGTCACAAAAATGTTTGCATCTGGTACATGGTTAGTTTATATTGTCACGAGCCTATTGTCGTGATTGAGTCACTTTAAATAATTAAGATTAAGATTACGAGAACAATTAACAATTTATTTATCAATAATAGTAATCAATAAACAATATACAATAAGGGCCTTACCATGGGCTATACATCTAAAGGCGATGAGGACACGTCACGTCACTTCTTCTAATGAGATACGAGACGATGATGAGACTTGTTGGAAAATGAACTATTTGTAATGGCCTCGTATAATGTTTTTTGTACGTTATATAAGTTAGTTGACTGTTAGACAACCAATTATGTCGAACAGCGTATTGTATGTTGCATACCTACCATTTTTAAACAATTAGTTATATTCACATAAAAAATGCATTTATTTAACATTTAATTTCTATCTAAATTAATGTAATCTAATTTAACAATGTTCTCTGTTTATTAATATCAGTTTCTGTAAAGTATTATCTTATTGTAAAGATCTATTTTTTGATCCACTGATGTGCATTAGATCACTGCGCATAGGGATGAAATGACGCAACGATCTCGGTCAAGTTCGTTCGCCACTTTGTTTCTAGAAAGCAGGCTTCTTGCAACATCGATCAATAAATCTAATCAATCTTATAATAACGTTATATTGAAAAATGTCAATGTTAATTTTCTAAGTGAAGTTTCAGAACAGTCAGTTTTCCCCTTTGTATTTGTGGCAGTCATTTTGCTGTACGAAAAGGTAAATAAATTTGAATCTATAACAAGTTGTATTATTCCACTAAAGGTAAAAAAGCTAAACCCATATATCGAGCGAGGATGCGATGATAGAGGAAGCAATCTGTTATCATCCAAGACTCAAACTAAGAGTCTTGGAGGAGACTCCGGCCAAGAGTCTCGGATGAGACCCCGACCAAGAGTCTCTTTATTGTTGAACTAGCCGATGTTTATATTAATCGACTAGGGTCAGTACGTGTCTAGTTAAATGTTATATTTACTTTTATTAAGGACGTACTTATGAATTGCATCTATGTTTATCAAAATATTATTTAAAATATTATGCTAAATTATTTAACTTAACGAATGTATATTAAAATAGAAAATGTATATTTTATATATAGGGTGATATTTGTTTAGCGTGACAATATTGAAAAAGGTACCTTTGGTGTTGCCAAACATAATTCTGCCTGTCTGCCATCGTAAATCCGGGTCATGAAGCGGGGGCGTTTAGTTAAAAATATAAAATTTAGGTGTAAAATAATTTATAAGGTACACGGATTCTCATTACAGGAAAAGTTTTAATATGTATGTAGTCTAGGATGCCAACCGAGGCGGACATTCCGGTTGATCGCTCCGATAATAATTGTTTTATCTGCTTTTCAAGTATTAGAAAAACTTGTGTTAAGTGATCCAACAATAAAAGTGATGTAATTATTCATTATAAGTGTTTTGAAACAGTTATTTTTCACGGAAAGAAAGGAATGGAAATATAAGTCTTGCATAGAAAATTGTTCTGTTGATCAGAACCCTAGCGACAATATTTCTGATTTAAAGTTATTTTTAATGGGAAAAGTGTAGATTTGGAGTATTTATGGGTTAAAATAAAAATTAACAGCAGATGTGTTTCAGTTGATATTTTATATAGGCCACCGAATGGATCTGTGTCAAATTTTATTAATTTGCTGGATGATATGTTGACATCATTTGTGCCGCAATTTGATAATATTTTTGTAGTGGGTGATGTAAATATCGATTTAACTAACGCTGACAATAATGTAAATCGTTGCTTTGAAGCCTATGGACTAAAACAAATCATTTCAGAGCCTACACGCATCACAAAAACCTCAGCTACGCTGTCAGATCCTATCTATATTGAAAAATCTAAAATTTGTTTAGTAAGTGGTACTGTAAACGTTGATCTTCTTTTCTGATTATAGGTTTGTTTATTGTGTTTTAAAATTTGAATGTGTAAATAATCGACAAAAGTTTATTACCTTTAGAGGTATTAAAAACTTACATATGTATGCTCTTAATAATCAATTAAATAATATACATTGGCTTGATATAGTTACTGTAACAGATATAAAAAACAAAGTCAGATTTCTTACTAATAATATTACTAAATTATTTGATACTCACTGTCCGTATAAAACAATAAGGGTCAGTAAACCTCGATCCCCCTGTCTAACGTCTAACAGAAAATCTCAAACTAATATATAATGAACGAAATAAAGCTCTGTCTCGTTTTAATCGCCTAAAAACGTCAGAATCTTGGAATAACTATATACAGCTCAGAAACTTTGCTCTTCTTTCTACTAGAAATAAAAAAGCTGCCTACCTTCGTCATGTAAGTGCTCAAGGTACATCAACATTTTTTGAAACTTTGAAAACGATGAATATACAAGCTTCTAAAAATAATGACACCATACGAATTAGCTGATCCATATAAAATTAACGATGTCTTTTTCTCAGTTTTTCAAAACAGTAATGAAAACTGCTTTGAACAAATTGCTTACTACAGAACAAATAAATTTAATTTTAATAAAATATTTGAATTTAGCCTTTTTGATGTTGACACCACCTCTCCAAAACTATAGGTGCAATAAAATCGAATTCCAGTGGCGTAGATAATATATTTTTAGAAATGCTTAAACTTTGTATGCTAGTGATTTCTATTTATATTACGCACATTGTGAACTGTTGCCTTGAAAGCAGATATTTTCCAGATTAGTGGCAAAAAGCAGTCATGGTACCTCTTCTAAAAAAAAACAAATCCAACGACTTTTAATGAATTGTGTCCTATAAGTTTACTTCCCGTTCTCTCTAAAGTTTTGGAGATAATAGTATATGAGCAAATCCATGAATTATTTTCATCTAATAATATACTTCCGTTGCATCAATCGGGATTTCGAAAAGGGCACAGTACCACCACTACTCTTTGCCACTTAACGGACTCATTAATGTCGGGATTGGATCAAAAACAAGCTACAACACTAGTGTTACTTGACTATACTAAAGAGTTTGATTCTTTAAATCACCTTTTATTAATTTCTAAATGCAATTATTATGGTTTTTCTGAAGAGCCACTTTCTTTTATAAAAACATATCCTAATAATCGTTCGCAAAAAGTTTGACAAAATTGTCAGTCATCAAGTTTCCTATCAATTCAATCAGAATTTCTGCAGGGTTCCTTTCTAGGGCCTTTGTTATTCCTTATTTATACGTCTGATTTAAACAAATGGAAACGTGCAAGGTACAATTGCTGATGATACTCAATTACATCACACTTTTGATGATAATAACTCAAATGCAGCACAGAATGTAATGAACCCTTTTTTATCACGAATAAACACATTCTTTTTGTAAACCATAACTTGCATTTCTATGCTTATAAATCTAAGTTAATTTTATTTTCGAATACCAACTCACGATCAAGTATAAAAAGTAATGTCAATTAAAATTGATGACGAGCAATTCCATGTGTAAATGTAGCTAGAAGTCTAGGCTTACTTTTAGATGAGAACTTGCGGTTTATTGAATATGTGAATAACTTCTCTTCTCAGTGTTATTTAACATTAAAATTATTATTTGCCAATAAG